CACGTGCTCCTCCATTTCAGAGCATCCTTGGATCACGTCTCACACTGCGCACGTGTGATACCCTGTCCATTCAGTTCAGATAGAGTATAAACACTTCCTGTCACTTGCAACCCTGTTACACACCTCCACCCCCACCACCGCCCTCCTCCCCCCTCCCCCCTCCTCCACCGATTTCATCTAAATCAGTGTAGGGAATTCCCCCTAATTCTGGCACCATATTATCGGCACATAAATGTTTGCTTATTACCAAACTCCCGTACAAAGCTTAGCTGACATTGGCTTGGCGTCTTGCCCTCAATAGTGCAATCTCTCAATCTCGATTGTTGCTCAATTGCAACACATCAACTACCGGTTTTAGCGTTAAACAACAAAAGACCTGAGCCCTGAGTACGGATATCAGCAGCAGCGTTCCAGATTTACCATGACACCTTAATTCCTCCCTCGCCACCTGCATCACGACCCCGACCGCCCTCACCACCCGCCGAACCCTCTCCAACCACTTCCAACTCCTCCTTTTGCCCAAACAACTTCTCATAAGCAGTTTCCTGGGGAATACCCTCGCCTTCATCCTCAACCGCCCGCTTCTCCAGCCCTTCCAGGAACTCCATGGTGAGTACGTCCGGCCAAGGGGCTCCAAATGGAGCTTCAGGTCCTGCCACCCAGCCCAGATGGCCGCCGTGGGATGTGCCGACAAGCATTGTGAGGGGGTTTTGCTGGAAGACAAGAGGGAACAGGGAGTGAATTCGAAAGGAATTGAGAGTTTGTCGAGCCAAGGGGTTCCAAAAAGAGCTTCGGGTCCCGCCACCCACCCCAGATGGCCGCCGTGGAATGTGTCGACAAGCATGGTGAGGGGGGTGTTCTGGAAGTTGTGAGGGTACAGGAGACAGGAAAGGAACGACAGAAAGGTTTGATGCATCTCCAGGGGAATGCCCTTGCCTTCATCCTCAACCGCCCTCTTCTCCAGCCCTGTGAGGTGTGCCGATAAGCATTGTGAGGGGGTTGTTCTGAAAGCCGAGAAGGAAACGGGTGTATTTCAGCACAAGATGGAAAGCCAATGCATGTAACGACATGCGTTGATATAAGGGTGTATGTTATGTTGTTCATTGCAAAATCAGCCATTATAGCTTTCTGTGATTCTGTGAAGGAGACTTGGACGTAGAGCTTGTGCATCCAGTGCAGTGCTGTGGCATGGAGGGTCACATCACATACATTCCATGCCATCACATGCAACCCCGTGTCACCACACACCACGGCTTGGCATCGCAAGGGATGTTAATGCAAAGGTGCAAGAACATGTTACCTCAATATCAGCATACGGAATGCCTTCTGCAGTCGTGATGAGATCAAGCAAAGCCTGGAAGACATGACTTTAACGTCGACTCAAAGGTCACATGCCATCACAAGCCATCACAAGCCATCACATGCCATCACATGCCATCACATGCCATCACATGCCATCACATGCCATCACATGCCATCACATGCCATCACATGCCATCACATGCCATCACAAACCATAACATGCCACCAAGCGGAACTGGATGCCAAATGGCAAAAGAGCATGGTACCTCAATAGCCTCGTACGGAATGCCGTCTGCAGGTGCAATGGGATCATCCAGCGCCTGGTCGGGGAGAGAACACCGAGACGCGACCGTGGGGCATTGGCAGCGGAGGCAAACGAACAAGGGCGGAGAACATGGGTTGCTTGCTTGCATGCGAGGAGAGAACGCACAGAGGCGATTGTGGGGCATTGACAGCAAAGAAGAACGAACATGGCCAAGGGAAAATGGTTGCGAGGGTTAAACAAGATGAAAATAAGAGGGAAACAAGGACACGAGAAACCAGAGTTGGTCTGGTTTCTGAATGCGAGGAGCTGGCATTAGCATGGTTGACATGAAGGATTACCGAGAAAAGACTAGGTGCCTCTCGCACTGTCGAGCTTTGAGAACGTCCCAGAAGTTGACATGATTGACGTCAAGGACTACCAAGACTGAATGAGGTGGCGAACAATGAGGCATGATTGACTCACACAATGTTTCCTGATGGAAGCGAGCCATGCCTCTTTGGATTGTTGAAGGTTAAAACCGAGACGTTGAGAACCACGCTTTTTGTTCTTGTTCTTTTTGGAAGCGGAGAGAGGCGGGAACTCTATTGCACGTGAGAAGAGCAGAGCTGAACGCAACCCACCTGAACGCAGAGCAGAGGCAAGCGCACGTCCTTGATGCTTCGACTGCTGCTGGCATCACTGTAATAGGCGTCCACTGAGGGATAGCCGAATGAGACTGAGGGGGAAGGATGGGATGGGAGAGACGGGAAGAGAAAGGGGTGCTGAGGTGACCTTTAAACGGCATCGAAAGCGAGTAAGGGTGAAAACAACTAAGAGTCAGCGAACAGAAAGGGGGAAGGCTTGCAGGCCCGCTGCTAAACCTTGCCGGCCGCTGCTAAGCCTTGCCCGGCTTTGTGAACCAACGTAAGCCATGCCATAGCTGTAAGCCTTGATTTTTTTTGGCTCCTCGCTCACCTGTAAATTCTGCAGCCGTGTACACTTCTTCAACCGTGTGGGCCTTCTTCCCGCGTGAGTTTTCTTCCCGTGTGAGTCTTCTTCCCGTATGGGCATTTTTACCATGTGGTGGACCTTCTTCCCGTGTGGGCCTTCTTCCCGTGTGGGCCTTCTTCTCTGTGGGCCTTCATACCGTCACCATTCAGATTGAAGAAGGCCCACACGGGAAGAAGGCCCACACGGTTGAAGAAGGCCCACACGGTTGAAGAAGGCCCACACGGTTGAAGAAGGCCCACACGGTTGAAGAAGGCCCACACGGTTGAAGAAGGCCCACACGGTTGAAGAAGACCACCCCACCCACTATTGTTATCACCACTACTGAGATCCCCATTGCTGTATACAATACCCCATTCTCTTCTCGCCCCACACAACCATACCTCACCACACCACACCCCACCCCACCCCTCCCCCACGCACCTCGTGTGAGCCCCACATCAAAGTCACGCACAGTCTTGGCCCGTGCAACGAGCGCAATGTCGTACTCGCCCCCCAGGCCCTCAAACAGAGGCGCGTGGCTGGTGGGAGCGAGCAGAGTGGGGGTGAACGAGGGGCGCACAAAGAGGATTTGCCTCGTACGATTTGCCTCGTAGGATTTGCCTCGTAGGATTTGCCTCGTAGGATTTGCCTCGTAGGATTTGCCTCGTAGGATTTGCCTCGTAGGATTTGCCTCGTAGGATTTGCCTCGTACGATTTGCCTCGTACGATTTGCCTCGTACGATTTGCCTCGTACGATTTGCCTCGTAGGATTTGCCTCGTAGGATTTGCCTCGTAGGATTTGCCTCGTAGGATTTGCCTCGTAGGATTTGCCTCGTAGGATTTGCCTCGTAGGATTTGCCTCGTAGGATTTGCCTCGTAGGATTTGCCTCGTAGGATTTGCCTCGTAGGATTTGCCTCGTAGGATTTGCCTCGTAGGATTTGCCTCGTAGGATTTGCCTCGTAGGATTTGGCTCGTGCAACGAGCGCAATGTCGTACTCGCCACCTAACCCCTCAAACAGGGGGACCCAGGGGGGGGGGGGGGGGGGGGGGGGGGGGGAGGGGAGGGGAGGGAGCGGGAAGAGATGGAGAATCTGAGATGCCTCATATGCCTTGGCTCGTGCAACGATTCTACGTCATACTCGCCTCCAAGCCCCTCAAGAAGAGGCGCGTGGGTGGTTGAAGGGGGGAGCAGGATGGAAGAGTGCGGACATTTCGGGAGAGCAGAGACGAAGAGAAGAGTGGATAGTGCAGCAGATGTGTAGAACAATGTGAGTGTAGAACAACGTGGGTGTAGAACAACAGGGTGTACAACACATACTTGGCGTAAATACTCCTCAGTGTCGATCCCAGCCTTTGATCATAGAAGTTGTTGAATCCGATGTGGAAGTTCCGATCAGCCAGCACGAGGTCAAAGGGATTGCAGAGCGACACGGCTCCTGACAGAGGCACCTCCTCTCCCTCCTGCCCATGGCCAGTGGTTAGGGGTGGGCGCATGGAAGGTCATGAGAGTCGGGCTGGGGGCAGGGCGGGCATGCATGGTTTTCCATCAGCCAGCACGAGGTGGAAAAGTATGCAGAGAGACACGGCTCCTGACAGAGGCACCTCCTCGCCCTCCTGTGGGGAATCAATGATGGTCGTATGAAGGGGCAGGTGGGGGCATGGACGAGAAAGCCAGGAGAGTAGTGGTGGGGGCAGGGCGGGCATGTGTGGGCTCCTATCAGCCAGCACGAGGTCGAAGGGATTGCACAGCGACACAGCCCCTGACAGAGGCACCTCCTCTCCCTCCTGTGAAGACCAAATGATTAGGGATGGGCGCATGGAAGAGGCATGTGTGGGCTCCTATCAGCCAGCACGAGGTTGAAGGGGTTGCACAGCGACACGGCTCCTGACAAAGGCACCTCCTCTCCTTCCTGCAGTGATCAGTTATGTGCATACACGGAGGAGCAGATGGGAGCATCGACGGGTCACACACACCTGACCAATGTACAGCAAAAGAATGTTGGCGGCCAGGGACCAGCCCGTCGCATAAAGGTGCGAGAGTGAGTGGGTGGGGTTCACTTCGCATGGCACGGACCCCTTCCATGGTCCTACGGATTCACCTGAGCAATGTATCGCACGAGGATGTTGGCCCCTAGGGACCAGCCGGCGGCATAGAGGCGCGAGAGCGGCTGTAGCGCTGCCACGTGGCGCACCACCTGCCGTAGATCCTCGGTGAACGATGCGGAGTAGAACTGCCAGGTGGTGGGATGGGGGTGGAGACGAGGACAGTGGAGGGAGGGGCAAGTTTGAGTCGAGACTTTAATAAGGTGCACCCGAAGCCAGAGCTGGGTAGAGCTGGAGACAGGGGAGAGAAGGAGAAAGGGGGAGAGGTTAAAGGGCTGGAGAGGGGGGAGAAGGAGAAAGGGGGAGAGGTTAAAGGGCTGGAGAGGGGGGAGAAAGGAGAAAGGGGAGAGGTTAAAGGGCTGGAGAGGGGGAGAAGGAGAAAGGGGGAGCGGTTAAAGGGCTGGAGAGGGGG